CACACACACACACACACACACACACACACACACACACACACACACACACACACACACACCTCTTTGCGCTCTGTCTGGAGGGTGTTAATGTGTTGCACATGCAGGCCGCAGTGCTGCGTTCAGCCCCTCGTGACGCGGCAGGTTATTCCTGATGTCGGAAAAGAAGGAGACCTGCTTCTAATTAATCTCTGTAACATGTTCCGGCTTTTTTGTGCTCTCTCGGGCCAACAGTCCAAACACGGAGCGAGAACAGAAGTTGACCTGCGGATCCTGAAGGAAGTACCTTTATCCCTGCGCCCGCAGCGCCGTGCGTTTCCGACATTTCCCCGCTCGCTCCACAACAGTCGGCATGACTAACAACACCTCTGATAATGTTTCCACTTGAAGGCAAATAGTCCCCTTTAACACTGTATCTGTTATTCCATCTAATTACACTCTGATACTCTTTACACTTCCGTAGAACAATTTGCCTCTTTAAAATGTTTTAGGTCTATTGAATCAAAGTGTTTTGGAAACACTGCGAAATGTTCATGTAAAAATCTCATTCATGTTTGTATTATTATTATTATTATTATTATTATTATTATTATTATTATTATTATTATTATTATTATTATTATTATTATCAATACTACTACTACTAGCAGTATTGATAATTAAAAGCACTTCCATTCTCTAACTATAGTAGAAATGTATGTAGGCCTGTGGGAGAACTGCTTTTTCCTTTCTGCAACACAGCTAAAAAAAATAAATTCTAAAAATATCGCACACTACATTATTATCATTATTATTTCAGTATTATTTCAACAGGTGAGTTGTATTTGTTTTACATTTACAAGAATTATTATGAGATCTGCTTTGGTCCATCTTATTGAGCTTTTTTCTTTTCCTGTTGCAACACTTTGGAAACCTGAGTTCAAATATACCCAAAGCTGTTTCTCAGCTCTTCCTCTCTTCAGATTGAAATACGGTCTCATGTCGCCCTCCTCCCGCCGTCACACACTACACTTGGCCGTTTTTATGAATTGGGTTTAAATTGGTAATCGGCTCATAAATAGAGCAGCAATCAGTTTGCGCCGAAGCAGAGTGAAGGCGGACGCGACCGTCGCCGAACGTATTTCACGGCCTGCTCATAATAAGCTCATAAATCCAGAAGAGAAGGGAAGCAAGAAAACAGCCCTCTTTTCTCATTAGGCAGGCCCCGATTTACGACCGTTAAACGAACAGGGGAACAACGCGGCGTTTGAAGTGCAAAATGAGGAATTAAGCTGAAATGTCTCCCTCTCCATATACAAACTTTTTTTTAATATGGGTGCAGTTTTTCCCTTTAAATTGGACATTTTTCATGCGGTTTGCATCACTTCCAGTCTCAGGCTTTGCAGGCTATAGTTTCCAAATATGAAGAGCTGGTTGATAATATTTAGGCATAAAATCCAAATAAATCATCGATACAGGATAAAAGGCAGTTTCAACTGTTTTAAAATGAGGTAATACACCTGCACAGTATTGTTAAAAGCCAAAGGTCAGGGGTCACTGGCTTGGCAGAATGGATAAATAAATCTGGAGATAATATGTAAAGCTCAGAAGACTGTCAGCTGTACAAGGCAGAAGTTGTCCAGACTGGATTTATGGCTATTAAAGGAATAATCAGGGCTAATTGAAACTGTACACAGAAATCTGGGATCTTTGGAAAATCAAACGAAGTGAGATTCCAATGTCTTGAATAATTAGTCTATTTATCGCCTGTTTTAATGAGCATAAACAGCCTAAAACGTGCCTGCGTGCTGTCTCACATCCCTGCGTCAACAATAGCCGGACTGTTCAAATGAATGAATACACACTGTTTCCTCATTACAGAGAGGGAAGGCTGACAGAGCAAAAGCTGAAAAAAGTTTAATTAAATATTTTTTAAATCAATGTTCTTTATTGTTATCATTATTAATATAATTGTTATTGTTGTTGTTAGTGTAATTCACCATTTAATGTGGTGGTTATGATCATTAGTGTATTTATTTTTTTCATGCTCCTAATACGAGTGTCTGCACAGTCGGCAGTGCTGCATCATGACAAACATCAGGAGCGTTTAGGGTGACAGATGTGCATACGGCAGCATTTCTGTGTTGTGTTCTTGTTTTTGTTCCCAATTTTTCTTCTTGTCTTTTCTTTTTTTTAACTTTTTTTGTAAATATTTAAAGCCATAAATATGTTTTATACTCCACAGTAGGAGTAAAAAAGAGACCCTTTTTCTTAGTAGCACAGTCACTTCATCTGAAGAATAAGCTAATGAAAATCACAAAACCATTACATTTTATATAAATTTTATATATTTATAGGTGTGTGTATGCATGTGTGTGCGTATATATGTAGTATGTTGTTATTTTGAAATAAATCGCTCTCACATCTATTACCATATGTTGCTTTTTTCCCTCTAGGAGGATGTTTCCAGCCATGCGTGTAAAGATAGCAGGTCTGGACCCTCATCAGCAGTACTACATTGCCATGGACATAGTGCCTGTGGACAACAAGAGATACAGGTACCTCCTGTTTGCACAAACATTAATGGGCGTGAAGGTTGATGTAGCCTAGTCTAGTGAGTAGCATCTAAAACAGAGGTCCTTCGCTAACGAAAGTTTATTTATGCTCCCTTCCTGTTCTACTCCCTTTCAAATGCAGAAATGGACTTCTCCCTACCCAAATGCCATTAAATCAAAAATGATTTCGTTCTTTTGGGTTTTGGTGGGAAAGTTTAATGTCCCGTGTTGGTCTAAATGTTCTTTCAGATGCTTTTCACCCACGTCAAGAATTAAACTGTGGCGAAAATACTAAGTAATTGTATTTTATCAAAGCCATTAAACATGGTCGACTATGCAGATGTTATCTACCAGCAACAGAAGGGTACCTTTTGTTCGCTTCTTTCTGAAAGTAGCAGTCTCTTTGCCCAATAACCCTGCACGGCTAAACACGCACAGTCACATCTCTGTGCGGGAACGCACGAGCGAGCCTGCACCCTGCTGCTGCTGTAGCTGGACGCAAAACTCTACTTTCCTGGATGATTTTCAAAATGCTGGATGGAGCGTAAACATTTTGACCTAGTTGGATTGTTCTCATCTTCCTACCATTTCTCATGTTGGTGTCGTACATAACAGGATTTGGATTAAACAAAGATATTGCAGCTTTTTTCCTGCTTCACATTTTTCAAAACGGCTACTTGAGGTGTTCTTGTCGTCTTCTTGGCCGAGCAGGAAAAAGTAGTTGCTCCCATCATTTGATTAAGGAGAGCATGTGTAGGAAGAAGGCTCGCATGTGATGAATCTCTCTGGATATGCAATAAGACTGATATCCAGGCAGACAGTATTGGCCCCTGAAGTCAGAGCCAGAGAGAGGAGATTGAAATGTATTCATCATCCCACTGCCCGAGCAGCAGAGCCAGAGTCTGCCTGCAAATAGGATAACACTCAGTATTCGAGTCTAATCAGGGAAACGGGTGGAAAAAATGAGGTCAAAATGGGAAAAATGCAACGCTGGACATCTACCTGCTGCTGCCGTAGCTGACCGTCCAAGTTTTCTAGGCTGGGGTTCACCTGCACATATTCTACACAGACCACGTCTGGTTTTATTCTTATTATTGCTAATACAGGCTGGAACTTTGTCCTGAAGCAATAATAAGGCAAATAACCCATGACCTACATACTTATCTCAATCACAAGGTTTTTTTCACAGATGCTGCTATTTGTGTTTCAAGTGATTTGGCAGTGGGTCCCCCTAAGCACTAAAAGCAATCACAGCAAAGCAGACAGAAAAGTCTCATTTAGCAAAGGTGAGGTGTAATAACCTGAAAGGGTAAAAATGGCAAAAGTCGATGTTTTATTACTGCAACATGTCTAATCCTAAAGATAACACAAAATCCAACAATGAATTACTTTGTAGATGTTGCGTCTTCTCCCAGCACATTTGTTTCACTCGGTCTAACCATTGTTACGGAAAACTGAAAACTCGAGATTGATCGAAACAAATGCAACCCTGTTCTAAAAAGGTTGGTGTTCTGTCGTGTAATGTGAATAAAAACAGAATGCAAATCTTTATTTAAGTGAAACTAGCACCACAGCACCTATCAAATCTTTAAGATCTGAAGTTTTATACATTTTTTGGGGAAATGGGGAAAAACATGGATTAAATGATAGGTTATAGGTCCTGATTGCAGACAGGGCAGTTTAGAACCTGCACCCTTGTTTCCTGTGCTGTTGTCATATGTGCAGATTGTGGTGTGCCACTGTCTTGCTGAAATAATCAAGACCTTCCTTGTCAAAGACTTAATCTGGATGTCCCCACACAAAAAGCCTCTATATCCTTCAGCACTACTGCGGTGCGTTCACTGACAGTGGATTTCAGAATCTTTTCTGAGTTCATGGAGTGATTTCTGCTACATAAGTTTCTGTTTTTTGGCTTTTAACTTCACCACAGACACTTCTTTAGATTCCGTGAAGTTGTTTAAAACTGAACTTCAGTAGCTGAACAATTGATCCAAACAGTCTGTCACAGAGTGGCGAAGCCTTTTTCTTACATTTTAACCTCTCTGCGATGCTCTTTTCATACTTAGTGATGTTTATAATGCAACTATTTAGCCGTGAGCTATACGATGAAGTGTTTTTAAGCATTAAACACATTTTCCATTTCTCTCCTGCTCTGTTGCTGCAGTTTTTTTTATTGCGCTTGTTGCATCATCATAATCAATATTCAAAATTCAGAAGAAAAAATGGAACCTGTCTTATGTTTGATAATAATAATACTTTTCCTTCTTTAGCTATAGTTTAAGAAAATATTCATGTTAGTTCTTATAATCCAAAAGTTATGGTTGACATCTTCAGCTTAAATTGGAAGTGTGTTTTTAACTTGCAGCGTGGATTTAATTTCAGATGTTTAAACAATGTTTTTCAATGATGAGAAAACATAAACAGCTCTTTATTTTTTTTCTTTTGCCTGGATAGATAAATTGATATAGCACTTTAAAAACATGTGTGTATTAATAATGATCAAATTGACTGACTTAGTGGCAACATAATTGCGTGTGTGTGGTAGATCTGAGTGTATCGGCAGTGTTTTACAGGGCATATTTTTAAAGCAGATAGTTTTGTTGCACGAAAGATGATTGCAGCGAGCTAGTTTGTTTTCGTGTGAGAGTGACTATTTGTTCAAAAGCTGAGTGCACCACAAATAGATCCCCTCTCTTTCTGCAAAACAAAACCATGTCATTCCCTGCAGAGAATCTCCACTCCCCCCACGACCACTCAAACTCAATTAAAATTCATTCATCAGGAAGAAATAAAAGTCTGCATAAAAGACAAATTAGCAAATTAAAATAAAGTGACTTCTGCAATCAGTGCATTTTATTTGACCTCCCTGCACCCTTCATTTCATTTCATTGTTTAATAATGTAAAGTTTTCCACCAGAGCGTATAGCAGACGTTCTGCCCTGCCGCCTCTCCTTGCTCTCCCACCAGCGAACCAAGACATGGAGGATTTTTAGAGGCCAGAAGATCTTGTAAAATTAAATAGGATTTTCTTCCTGGCTGGGGAATTTACCACAGGGCTTTGCAAACTGAGCTGGGAGCTGTCACTGGTGTGTCTCAGAGTCCCAGGGAGTTTGGGGTCTGGAAATAAGGTCTTTATTGGAATCGACTTGCTTTACTTGGGCTCACTGCCCCTGCTTAGGAACGTCTCATTGGTACCACGCTCATTAAATCTCCATATATTACACTTCTTTTATGTGGACAGTCATTTGGTTCGTTCTGAGTTAAGGCCACTGAGCGTGGGGTCTGTCTGGCTCCTCAAGCATACCTCTTTGCTTCGAGTGTGTGGCAGTGCACGTTGCAGTTTTGCTTTAACATGCGCAGGTTCCTGCACAGAAATGGGAAAATGGATCAAACAGCCACCAACATATTCACAGACATCTACAGGGATAAAAGACAGATGTATGCAAAAATAATTACGTTACTTTAGTCATGGGGTCAATCATAGTTTCCCAACCCTATAAACTAATCCCATCTTAATTTTAAAAATGCTGTAAATGTACGTTGACTGGAAAATTGACTGTCCTTAACTTTCTTTAAACAAATGTTTATTTGCTTCTATTAGCAAATATTCTGTTAGGATTGTGTTTGGTTCTTTTGTGTTGAAGCAGAAAAACACACACGTAGAAAAGGCACAGAAACAGCCAAAGATAGACAGTAATTCCTCCAACCAGGGTTCACCAACTATATCTTAAACATAGTCTCCATTGAAAAGTCAAGTTGTAAAAGTAAATCAACCTTCTTGACTGTTGTTCGATCTTCATAAGTATAGAAATAAAAGAACCCATATGATACTCAGAAACAATTAAAAGAGCAACAGCACACACACACACACACACACACACACACACACACACACACACACACACACACACACACACACACACACACACACACACACACACCCAAAGAGCCTTGTCAGATTTGCATGCACAGCCGTTCATTCCTCAAAACTCATCTGATCGTTCAAAGCCACATTCATGTAATCACATCAATTCCAGACATTCTTTTTCTTTATGGCAGTTTGTGAGGACCTTAGATCTTTGTATATAAATAGAAACACACATATAAAAATGAGTGAAGCCTAACATTAAGGAATGCGTACTCAAAGGGGAAACACGCCTCATTGGGCCTTCAGTCTGACATACTTATGAGGACCACTTTGACATCAGCCTTAACCGGTACCTCATCTGAACCCTAAGCCCACTTTCAGCTTTGAATAATCCCAGTATTTTTCTTATAAACAGTAACCCTGCTTCACGGGTCCTGTGAGAACTTACAAAATAACTTCGCAGGGCAGTTTGGGCCTCCCAAGCATAGAAAATCAAGAGCACACGTGTATGCGTACGGAGAGCTGCTGGTCTTCTCTTACAAACTCAGAAGTCAACCCTGAATGGTAACTCAATAGCAATATTTACTCTGTCAGTACAGTAACTCAATATACTGTCCGGTCTTGGCAAGTGTGTAAATATGTGTTTTTATGTGCATGCCAGCCTCTGTAAGAGTATACGTGTGATGAGCTGGACAAACACACACACACACACGTGTATGCATACAGACACATACAGACTGACAACCATTTTTTCCCTTCTTTTTTCTTGTGTGTTTTTCTATTTGTGTGTTTCAGTGTCCCAGTCTATATGACTGTGTTTGTGTGTCTGTGTGTGTGAGAGACAGAGAAAATTGAGAATTGGGCCAGGCGTTGCAGTTCAGTTTTGTCAGCTGTATGGTTTGGTGCTGGCTGAGGGACGGAGTTCCCCTCCCCTCACCCCCATCTGCCCAGTAAGAGTGTCACATAAAGTCCGGTCTTTATTGATCGTGCCGGTGCCAGATGGCAGATTTATGGAAGATGAAAGCGAGGGACTAATCAGATTTCCAGTCCTGTTTGGGGCTAAAGTTTCCTCCTTTCTTAACACGTTCTCTACTACGCTGAGCATAACCCTAAACAGCAGTCCAAACAGGAAATTACAGAAACGCCTGGCATCCTTTGTGGGTCTGCATATGCATGTGTGTTTGTGTTAAGGTCAAAAGTCAGGGCCATGTGTGGAGGTGATATTAGATAACACGGTAGTCAAATAGGGATTTCTGTTAACTGTACCAAATCTCTGCATTTAATAGCAAGCAAAGACATTTTAATAAATACCTTTTATACATGTTATATTTTAACTGATATTTACAAACGGGAAGAAGATGTATTTGTTATAAAGTTTCAGTGTGGGAGTATATATGTTATCATTCATGATAACAAACAACCAGAGAATTATTACCAACCGCTGTTTTATTCAATTTTGGTGGAGACCAAAAATGGAGCAAAAATAAGAGAAAAAAAGAAAGATGCATATTATATTATTATTACACCTGTTCAGGTCAAAACACCAGGTAAAAACATGTCATAACAGTGATCAGGAGTGGGGAGAAATCTCATGTAAACTCCTGTTTTGGTGCGTGGGAAATCCACAAAGAACGAATCCATCATAGATTAATGAATGATGAAATGGATTGGAATAATGAGTGTAAAAACCCCCCAGAATCAAATTGGCTTAATATGGCATCTCATCATGTGGTTTCTGCAAACTGTGCAGAAACATTCAGCTTCGTCATGGTTTGCTGAAAACTGGATTCCTGTGATGATTACGCTGTTTATGGTGTAACAAACAGGGGAGAGAGAGGAAGAAATACCAATGAAAACTTTGGCTTGTGTGGTTGTGGAGTGCATTAGACACGAGGCTGTTAACAAAGACCATTTGCAGATGCAGCCTGCAGTTCAGTCGGTGTCTGTGTGTGCGTCTTCACTCCTCAAGTCCAAGCCACTTAAGAAAACATATTAAGTAAGCTGAATGACTTTTTACTAGTCCAGCATTGAAAACGTTCTTGTGAGGATTTTTAAGAGTTTGTTTGCTAAAAACGCACACATCAGTGTACCCAGCACACGGGCCTTCCCAGGCTTTTCAATGCTGTGATGTGTGCGAGCTGTTGGAGTGTCATAGGCATATGTAAGGGGTCATGGCTAAATGCTCCAGCTTGTAGCAATGCAAAAACGGGACTCTCAATCCTAACTTTCTTTGGACTTAATCTTACTGGCTAAGCTTCATTCTTTTTAAACATGCAAGGCTCCTAAAAGCAAAAGTTAAAAAACAACAATGCAGCGCAAAGTGAAAAACACAAAGCTCCCAAACAGAGCACGAACCACTCCTCCTGTCTGACAAACATTTACTTACAAATGTAATATAGCATACTGACTTTAGCTCCAATATGGTGGCCAGAGGGTGTGTTTGCCAGCATTCCCAAAAACACCCCCTATATGCTTTTTCAAATGCTCACAAAGAGGCCGAGTTGGTATATTCTTTTTATTTTTTTGTCTTGGACATAAATGTGTGGTAAAACGGGGTGGTGCAGCCCTTCAAGGCAATAACAAAAGGACCAAATGAGAGTTTTGTCCATGTTTCAGGGGTGAGTGATGACTTTGGCAGAGACGCTGCAGATAAAACACTTTCAAGTGAGCGCAGGGCCAGAACTAAAAGCAAACAGCTGTGCTTCCCACTCTCTCTCCCGCACTCACTCTCAGCCTCTCTTGGCGCTTCACTCCTATCTCTCCTTCACCTTTCCGTCTGCTGATTTCATCTCCCTCATTGTGTCCGTCTCTCCCGAAGGCCGCCCGTCTCGTCTCCACGCATTTTAATTCCCCCTCATTGTTTCTTGCATTATTCCCTTGTTTTCCATCGCACTCATTCCTTTCTTTGTCCTTTCCTGTTTTTTTAATCAGCACACACAGAGTTAACTTGTGGCTTGTCATTTCTTTTTAAAATGAGGGTAAAAGTCAGTTACTTTTGTCACATTTTTTTCTTTCTCTCTCGCTTTCTTCTCCCTCTCTCCCTGCTGTTTAATGGGTGGGTCGCCCCATTGTACCCAAACTCACACACAACATCGTCAAATATTACGGCTTTGCTTAATTGAAACTATGCAGCAGAGCGTGCGACTGCATATGGAATATTTTATGTTGCGCTTGTTAGAAATTTCAAGCGCAATGAAGAAACAGCAGATGAGTTTTTTAACAGCCGGTGTTGTGGCAACGTGGCCGAGTGTTTGGAGTTTGTTTTCCAGCGAAGCGAAAAAAGAAAATCACTCCAGCTTATTTGAAATCCAAACAGGCTTTATAATAACCCCTCTAACCCTCAAATAACCTCAAATGAGTTTTCAAAACAGTGAAGTGGGGAGGGAATACTAGTCATGGACTAACTTTCTGGGGAACATGATTAAGAAATCAAAGCAGAAGAAGTCTCAGTGAAGAGACATAGAAAAAAACAAGTTTACAATAACATTTAGAGTTACTCGATTTAAGCATGCACAGGTCTTCTAGAACATGCAATGTCAAATGAAACCTTTGTATTTCTAGCATAAGCTCAGACTCATCCTCGTGTATCCGTTTGTGTGCGCCAGCGTTGCTTAAACCAGGTTTCCCACTGTGTTTTCTAGGTATGTGTACCACAGCTCCAAGTGGATGGTGGCGGGAAACGCAGACTCTCCGGTTCCTCCGCGGGTCTACATCCACCCAGATTCTTTGGCCTCAGGGGACACGTGGATGAGGCAGGTGGTCAGCTTTGACAAGCTCAAACTCACCAACAACGAGCTGGATGACCAGGGGCATGTAAGCACAAGACTTTTCTCTGCTACTAAGTTAACAACAACAAAACATCTGTTATGGCACTTTTGAGTCTGGATGTTTCATCACTTCCACTTTGATGTCTGGTCAAATCTACCCCCTCCACAATTGTAGTGTGAAATAAGCAAATTCTTCCTGTGACTGGAATTTATAACAAAGCTGATCAACTGCACATTTCTTCATGGCTGACTGATTTGTAACTTTAAAAAATACAAGTTCTACAAGTTCCTTTATTAAGATGATTTTTTTTGTATTGACTTAACAGTGAAGACACATGAAGAGTAGAACTTACTTACAAAACACTAGATCAGTCATGCTCACCTCCTCTCTTGCTAGTCCATGTGCAATAATTTCAATGTTTTCCAAATAATGTAAAGTAGTACAAGCATATTTACAACAATGCCATGAAATGAGAACTTTAAATCATGCAGTGTAAAATGTTAATGGTTTAATTTTAAGCTCACTTTCTTAAACTGCTGCTGAAGGGCCCATGTGCAACTTTAAGGCCACTGGACCCAAAGGCCAATCAAATGTGAGTAAATGGTGCTACGCAGCTAAATAATCTGAATACGAAGCAGAATATTTGTCAACACTACGTTTTTAAAATTTGCAAATAAAAGTTTTGGAATCGTCGTTTATGTTCGTCGTTATATCTTAGAACAAAATCTAGAAATATTTTAAATAAAAGATGAAGCAGCAGTGTGGATAAAACTTTGGCCCACAACGACATACAAAAACAGAGTGACCTATCTGAGCTGCATTTGGTTTAAATGTTCAAGCTGTGATTTATACACATGCACTCGGTGCACTCCTGGAGCTGTGTGGCAGCTTGTGGATGGAAATGTTTTGAAGTGTTTTCTTGAAATGAAAGTTGACACGTTTCTTTGTAGAATTTGTGCTTTCGGGACTCACAGAGCCGTGAGACTTGTTCACAATCGAACCAGATATACTGTAGTGCATTCACGCTCAGGCCGCCCCCTTTTTCGAAGGATGGGCTGCTCTGAGCTCATTTAGAGGATTAAAGTGGAAAGATATTAAAAGTTTCCTTGTTTGAATATATCACTTTCCTTTCCTTGGGGGATTTTGTTAAGGTCATTTAAATGATTGAATTTGATTTGTAGTACGCTCCAGCAGCCACATCACTGTGCTAAATTTTAAGTCTGACCACAGTCTCTCTGATTTACTGCCCTGCTTGTATCCAGTCAGTAACAGAGGTAGTTAGCTATAGTGAGCCTCTTATTGCTTCTTGGCTGCTTAAAATATGTTATCCAGCTTCATAGGTGAAATATTTAAAGCAGAAAAGCAAAAACTTCGCCCATAATTTGTCTGATTTATTGCCCTCCTTATATATAATCAGCAAGTGGCCAGCAAGCTAAAATCAGTCCTGTATTTCCACTTGATTCCTCCTCTTATGGTAGAAATGAGTTTCATGTGAACGGAATTATAATAGGTGAAAGCTGTTAGTTTAATTGTCCTCTTATGCTTAGCCCTAGCTTAAAAAAAAAAAGGCCAAATATAATACAGATAATATGAAAACTACATAAGGTTGTTTGTGTAGCAGCGCTGCTACCTATGACGTCAGCAGTCGCCAGCAGCAGACGTTGCATAAACACTGAGTGGTTTGTTGGAGTAGAGTTCGAACGTTACTTTTTTCTTATTAACACTGGTGGAGGAAACAAGTCAATCAAAAGTTAAGTTTATTCTAAATTCAGCAACCTGTTTGATGTATAAATATCAACCTGTTTGCTAACATGCTAGCCACAGCCGCCATAAAAGTCTGTCATCTCGAGTCTGCATGAACTCCATGTGCTTTTAGAAGCTAAAGGAGAGCTGGTGCTAAGAGAGGAAGGATGACACAGTGCCTGTCTGAGAGATCAGAGTTTCTGTTGCTACAAATCAACTTTGTTACTGAGAAAAAAGATCATACAGTTTTTATAGAAGCCTTGTAGTGACACCGCCATGACAGAGATGTCTCCTGCTCTGTGACAAAATGGCGGGTTCCACATTTGTGCAGCGCACTGCGTGGGCACGGCAGGTTGCTGCTCTGCAGATGATCACATCAGCTCAGTGGTGACAAAAGTAACAACATCTGGGCGTCAGCGCGCAACGATTCGCTTGCAGGGCTTCTTCAGAGTGACGGGAGGTTGTCTTTCCTTTCCTGCTGCTCGGCTTTAGGGTCTTTGTTTCCCTGGAGGGTCTTTAGAGGCCAAAGAAAATTAATTTCGGAGCTTCCTGTGTGGGAAACCTCACCACGTCTCACTCATCCTCCTGACTTGTGGTGTCGTGAAATGTCTGCCTCATCACAAACAGAAACCATACGTGTCATGAATCATCAGGTGTCACAACAGAAGCAGTCTGTGAGCAAAATCAATATTTTTGCACGTCTCTCCGAGCGCATTATCAGAGCAGCGTTGCCATTTTACAATAAAAACTTGATCCATTCACAGCACTTGTCAGCAGATATGAGGTGATCTCACCTGTGTAAAGCTAAACAATCAAAAATCTGAATTAAAAGTAAAGCGCAGACAGCGCTGGAAGTCCACCTCGAGATATTTAGAGACAGGGGTTAAATATGGAGCACATATACAAAACATTATCAGCTTAAACAACATGATTTATTGTTTACTGTATGACTTTAGATACTCTTTTAACCTGCAGCGCTCCGTCATTCATTAAGGATAAACTTCATCCCATCATTCTGTTTTGGTCGAGTATGAAAGAAATGCCCAGGTTGCTCAATTCAAAATAACACAGCAATAATATAAAAACACATTAACTTAATCATGTCATTAACTTTAATTGTTTTTCATATTATGTTGTTTATTTTTTGTAAATTATTATTTTACAATGAATTTCTTTATGTTAACATAACCGTAAAATAAATGACATGGAATAAAATGGACAAGAATTTCTTGTGGAATTTAAAATAATCTAAAGTGACATCAAATCCAGCAGGAACTTATACTCCACCAGTAACTGTGCTCCACTATATATACTTTAAATAATCTAAGCTTATAAAAGTTTATTTTATGCATTCATACAGTTTCGTGCTATCTTGATGATGATTATGTTGAAAAATAAAGTTAAAAATAAGTTCACAATATAATATTCTTTATAATATAAATCATTTACATAATAATGCTATTCTATAGAAAATCTGAACATAAAAATATTAGCAGTAATGATATCACCAAATTACTGTAACTTTTTGTTTTGCCTTTTTTTATTTGGCAAACTAATTACATTTTTTTAAAGTGTGTGTTGTTTGAGTTGGTAAGAGATTACAAACAAGTACACTTTTTAAACTATGTTATTGTACGTGCATTACTAATGGATTTACATTTTATTTGTATTTTTAAACTGCAGTTATTATCAACATGCAATTAATTTGCAAGTATTTTTGCAAGACTGTTGAATGTTAGTCAAAGCAACAGTGTAACTGTTTTATATCAAGATTGCACTTTGCTTTTTTTGCTTTTATTTTTCAAATGCGGTGAAAACTCTCTGTCCAGCAGTTTTGTGTCATTTGCACACGGGGGAAACCGTGCCGCAAGCTAAAAGCTTCTCTTACCTCAGTGCCTGCATGGACTCATTACCCTCAGTCTGCATTCTTATAGCTTCAAATCTGCCTCATGCTGTCCCTCTCTCACTGTTCTATGGGAAAACCTAATAAAATGCTAAAGCAGACTCGACTAGCCAAAACATTTTTTGTTACTTCTGTTTTGTTCTTTGTTAATGATCCATTGCATGGTAACGTATCAATGCTGCTGTGTGAAACCGTTCAAAATGCCACAGAAGATGTTTCTACAGTCTGCTTTGAGGCCTTTGCCTCTTTTTCTTTTATACTGAGTAAAAGACCTTCCAGAGACACAGCTGACTCATATACAGTCAGTGAATCCTCGACCGTTTTCACAGCTGAAATCACAGGCTTGCTTTGATTACTAATTGTTTATGGTCATTAAAGTGTTTTAACTATGTTTTTAAAAAAATCTATTAAAGCCAAATGTGCCTTAGACATTGAACGGGATCTAACTTGGTGGACATGCACGCGACATCTGTTATGTGCATGTGTTGGTGTCCCTGGTGTGAATGTCCAGATTATTTTCAAAGGGGGTCCAAAGAACGTCATTACCTACCACGGAAATGAAAACACCACTTATTAAATAATTGTATTTGAGCGTGAACAACTGTCAGCTGATGTCCTCTGGCTGCTCCTTGAGTCATTTGTTCTGAGTTCAGCGAGTCAAAGTGTGACTTTGACCCACAAGATAGTTGTTTCATTATTTTAACTTTTTTTTTCTCTTTTTGATAATTTACATTTTATTTAAAGTCTGTAAATAAACTGAAAATACGACTGGATTTTGCTTGAGCGCTTATGGCTGGGGTGGCAGACAATACGAATTGAAACTTGTTTGATTTGATTTGAACATTAAAATCTCCAAGATCAATTTTTTTTTCACAGCTCTGTTTTATCAATTGAAACAAACGTAGTCTGAAAACAACCCACAAAATGTGAAAGTATTTTTTCCATGGTGCAAAACTTATGCCTGGACGTGCTGCCTGGAGACCGTTCCTCTGACCACCCGGGTAAAGATACACCACAGCACCCGCCCACGCAGTTTGATTGGCAGGTCATCACTGGGCAGAGCATGCCAAAACACCACAAAAATGAATACCGAGCAACACAGATGGAGACATGTCTTTAAAATGAGGATTGCAGATCAGCACATGCGTCTCCACGCAGATGCCCAGTCATGATTCGTGTGCGTGTAGTGTGTGTGATTTGAGGTCTGGAACACTGAATGTAATGTTTTTGATATTCAGAGGTGTTTTCCCCCTGCGGCTCTAGTTTGAAATGACCCCCTCTGTTGTAACAGAGTGCTGAGGTGGTGGGGGGGTTGTGGGTGTTTGGCTCTGGGGAGGTTTTCTCACTCTCAGATTAATCAGGAGCAGACTGAAAGCCTGAGGCGAGGTTGGGGCCGACACTGTCTGACGCCTCCGCTCTGCTGTGAAATAATGTGAAATAATCCTCAAGCCAGCGTCACTGCAGTGAGAACTTTGTTTCCGCTTAATGTCACGTAGCCCTGGTCGGGAATCAGTGCAGCTAATTGATGTTTACAAGAAAGCGTTTTTTTAGGACGGAGGTTTTATGTTGTATTTTGAGTGTTTTGTACATTTCAAGGCACCTATAACGCATTCACACACAGATTTGTAACTACCGAGATCATCCTTCACAGATTACGCACATTTTGTGCGTACATTCACACAAAATGACTGACTGCACTTCACTCTCTTCTTTTCTCATATTTACAGATCATCCTCCACTCCATGCACAAGTATCAGCCTCGTGTTCATGTCATCAGGAAGGACTTCAGCAGTGAACTGTCTCCAAACAAACCAGTGCCCAGCGGGGAAGGAGTTAAGACCTTCAGCTTCCCTGAGACAGTCTTTACCACAGTCACTGCTTATCAGAACCAGCAGGTATTCAGCTCTGACTTTATCACCATAGTAAAAACTGATTACAGGATATTACTTTAAAACAAAAAAAGAAATCAGACGTAATTTCAGAAGTGCTCTGAAATTACTCATCTCTGAAAAGCTTAAAAAAATCCCTTTATATAATCTGCTTTCTTAAAAATCCTCACAGTTTATAGCGATGGCATTTTCTACTCAAGCATTTTTGAAAGTTTATAAATAAAATGTCTCTTTCTATGTTGTCCTTTTCTGCAGATTACCAGACTAAAGATTGACCGCAACCCATTTGCCAAAGGTTTCAGAGACTCTGGAAGAAACAGGTACATTGTTACAACATCATCCAGGCAATACACCCTCCTTAGGTGTCTTCAGTGCTTTGTCTCTGTTATCAGCCAAAGCAGTTATACTGAGTCTTAGCTGACACATGCAAAGAGATAAATAACAACCATGTGATTCAGATTCTCCAATCAATCTAACCTCTATGTTGTTAGACTCTATGGGGGGTAAACAAAGAACCTCATGCTAATTGTTGCACTGTGTGACCTTTATTGTGGAAATAATCCTCTGAAGATAGCACACATGCAGCTGTTGCCCAGATCTGCAGTACAGACAGACACACTGATGCACAAGCGAGAGAAAACAACGTTTGCTCTCTTTTGCTTTCATTGTTTCATTCCTCTGATTTTCAGGTCTTAAACTAATAACCTGTACGTGCATAAACAGGTTGAAGCTGGAAATCAATGTCAAACGCTGTCAAAACACTGAACAGATACTGATGTATGTATTTATTATGTATTTATTTATTTCCACTTTTTGATTTTATTAAGACTTAAAGCTAGGAGTTGTTTCTGCTTTGAAAGGTGTTGTGACAAAGGGTTGTAGCTAATGCCCGGTTATATCAATACTGATTCAAGTAAAGGCCCACCTATGTTTGTGTTGTTGGTGCCTTTCCAACAAATAATATTACTTGCCGGGATGTATAGACTGTCCAAGAAGTTTGTACTTAATCTTTGAGTAAATTTGAGTATTTTACTAGTCTGTTGCTTGGAACTGATATATGGTACCTGTGCGGCTTATTAACTGAGCTTAGCGGTAAACCTGCCTCTCCATCACCTCGTCCAAATATTGTTACTTCTGGCTCAATCACTAGTGGGTGCATGTTGCTGGTCCTAGAATATGGTTTGCTGCACTGTGACTAGCTAATGAACAAGTATCCATACATCTTTAATCTTAACTGTAAATATTTGCTTGTCTCTGACATCTGCTGTGAGCTGATTATTAGTTTTTCCACATTTTGTCAAAGGTACCAAGTTTTCAGCTCTTACGGTCACCTTTAGCTTCAAAGTGAGCTGATTGTTTTTATTTTAGACATTTAGCTCCATAAAACCCCTAAAATTTCATCACTCACTTAAGACCTGCTTCAGACTGAAATAAAGCCATAAAATGTGATTGGAACAACGGCTACATGTAACTAAATTTAGGCCAGTTTAACCTAGACGTCTAGACATGCTTTGACCTGAAAATCACCATATCCGTGCTTACGGGAATATTAACACTGTCTGTACTCGTGTTTTCTTTCTTTTTTAATCATGCCCACATTCCCACACGACCTATGAAGCAGTGAAGCCGGCCATTTAGTCGCTATAAATCACAACCAGAATTCCGCGAGATATGTTTGCGCTCCTCTTCCTGACACAAATCCAAACAAAAGGCAAATGAAACACAATACAAAAATGGTTTGACTCTTATTGTCGCACGGTAAAAGGTTGCACTGGGACATGTTGCCATTACTGTCTTGTTACTGTGTGATGTTAGCCAGAGACAGCAGTCTGACTCTGCACTGTGGAAGACTTACTTCTACTTACTTTTCAAGCTAACTAATAACATTATTGATTATGTTGGATTTTATCCTGATGCTTTCTTAGATGTTCTACATCACTGTTTACCTCTCCTTCAGCCTCTATCCCCCTCCTCTCGTCTCCTCCCCTCTTTTCTCTTGATTCGCCTTGTTGCACCCAGTCACTGAATCATCCTATATCTATAACATAGTGGAGGAGAGGAGGAAAGAGAAGGGGTCTCCACACATGAAAGCAGCCCCCTCATCTGGTCCGCATTATTGGCGCACAGATATTTGAGACATCTTTTTTCGTTTTTCAGACAATAGACCGTTTGATTTATGAACTGGCATTAGAATTTCATTGCAGAAAAGCTACAGATGAAAAGATAACAGAGCACAAGAGATTTGTCTTTAGAGAGAGAAAATGAATTGATCCTCACGTACTGCTCAGGATTCCTTCCCTTCACGCCCGTCTGGGATTTGTTTTGGTTCAGATTTGGCCAGGACACACTGAGATTTCAGACTGCTTCTGTTACCTTAAAAGCCCTCTCTCAGTCATTCTGAATTTCATGCTTTGTGTCGGAGCTGATTTCTTTTTTTTTATTGCGTCATTCATGAATATTGTTAGCGAGCTGCAGCTCTGACCTTTGACCTTCATGCTGCTGTTTCAGAATAATTATGGTGATTTGGGAGTTTGGTCACACAGGATGAAGTTATTAGCTCAATATGAAATGTAACTGTAGATACGGCGTGTTTCCAGCTCACAGTCAGGTCTGATTTTTAATCAAGAAAAAAACTGCAAATATTCAGTTCAATCAAACATAAACGTCTGATTATAATTACACTTTGGCAAATCTTGAATTATGAAGGTCAACCCAGTATTAGGGCATAAATGCAATAAATGATCATATATCATCATCATGATTATTATTATTATTATTAACTGCAACATTGCTAATACAAGAGATAAGGCCAAGGGCAGATGCTTCTGCATCCGCTGAATTATTTTCACAAGATTTCTCAACATTTTGATGATCAAATGATGATAAACGAAACCACAATTAGCAAAAACTGGTTAAAAATAATTAACCTCATGCTAATGAAATTAGCATGAGTCAAAAGTTTGTCTATCAAGGAAAAATCCTACAACACGACCACCTCTGACTAACATTATCATCGATTTGGATGCAGTTTCCGATGTGGCAGTGATTGGATGCTGGCATCAGCATCAGGTGCAGCTTGTTAGGTTAGTGGCTCCTGTGAGCAGTCAGTGGATGTTGTCTGAAGCAAATGCCGATGTGTGTTGGCAAAGCCAAGAAATTCCAGCTGCACGGACAGATCAGGCGGAGTCGTTCGTAATTTTATTATGTGCACATGCATCCTTGGTGGCTAATGTGTCAGATTAGGGTTAGAAAGGTCAACAGGTGAGACAGACGAGATAAAAGCAATTAACATTTCCTGTGCTTAGCCTGAACAAGTCACAATTATCTGTAATGAGTAACGACAGTCGTTTAGTCCACATCTTTCTTGTCACCTTGTGTTAAACACTAGATAGGAAGGAAAATCAAGGTAATTTCCAGTGAAACCAAACCTTGCTCGCCCCCTAATAAAATACTAACCCTCTCTTGATTTGCCTTCTCTGCAGCCAGGTTGAGCAAAATGTAAAAGTGCTGCAGCTGCAACTGAAAGCAGTGGAAACAGGCAGCTGCGCACATAAAAGCAGGTGTGACATATTTTGTTATTATTGCCACGCGCGTCTTTTAAACGTTACTCAGCTTCTATTAGTATCGGATATGGGTGACATAAACAGTTATAAAAAATACCTAAGGTACTTTCTTTGGGTTTTTAAGCTGTAAAATGAACGTGCAGCTCATTTGCTGTGAAGCATTACCAACCGATTCCATATTCAGGGGAAATTCCAAATTAATAGAAAGGCCAAACTTGCACTGCTAATTCTCAAATTAAGCACCATCTTGTTTTCCTTTTTCTGAGTTTCTTGTTGAATCTTAATGCGGTCCTCTCTCAGCCTTACGATTATGGGGGTGTCGTCAGTTGTCTGGTGACCAGGCTTTATGGCCCGGTGGAGGGATACAGCTCATTTGTTGGGTTTTGGTCCCGCGGCAGCAGTGCAACTGTATGAATGAGTGCAGTGATGATGAGGGCTGGGCTGATTAGCATGGCGCACTAACGAGCTGCCACAGCCAGGGAGCTGGTGGCCCTAAAATAACACAGGGAGCAGAGCGGACGCTGCTTTGCCTGGGCCAGAGCCGAGTGCCATGTGGGGAAGTAAATCAAGCAGGAAGGAGAACCATGTACAGATTCAGGATGAAATGTCACCTCAGATTTATATGCACACTAAAATTCTGCTCCTTTTTAATGGCCCCAGTTTCCTCCTAGCTGGACTCTGGTTTATCCCACCTCTCTCTCCATCTACATTATATATCTCAAACCCACCCCAGCTCCCGATGTTTCTAGCTGTCTCACTGACATGTAGAATATCACTGCCCATTTTTCTTTCATTGATGTTTTCAGTATATTTAGATTCTCCCTCTATGTACTCGTCAAGTCACAGTTTATTAATTCTATTAACAGAAACGAGTAAATTCCTTATTTAACTCTATTAAAAGTACAGTTTTAAAATAAAGTTAAGTATTAAAAAGGCTGATTTTGGTGCAAGAGTGAAGAAAGAAATATGAATACTTTCCCCAAACTTTGGTTATTGTTCTCATTAAGCGTTTCAGTGTTCATTTCAAACATTTAAATGTCTATAGTAACAATCAAAGCTCATAATTATCTAAAATCAGGCTCCTAGAACTTTAAATACAACGGTGAGCCTGATCAAGGCTTCAAACTTTAGGCTTAAAAAAAAAGAGATACATGCTTAAAATCAGTGATTAATCTATGACTGATAATATTATTTTCTCTGTCCTAGCAGCAGCTTTTATTGTAAACTTCATTTAAAAAAAATACTTGCCTCTTGTTTTCATTTCTTTTTTTGTGTTTGTGTGTGTGCGTCCTAAAATTGGTTTTGCATGTCTCTGTCAGGACTGGCCTTGAGGCGATCATGGAAACATATGCTTTCTGGAGACCTCCAGTGAGGACACTCACATTTGAAGACTTTACAAATATGCAGAAACAGCAAGGTATGTAAATAAATATATTTGTGCAGTCCTTCTCATCTGTCTTAAAGGAACAAATTTACCTTAACTTTGTGATATTAAAAAAAGTATTACAGTAGAATAATGTAAGGCAAAAAAACCCCAACCTACTAATAAACTACTGACTGTGAAACTGTATCATATCGCTTCCTTTTACAATATGCTATATTCAGTCGGTATTTTAAACCTTTAGATCTTCTTTTCTATGTGTTGAAAAACACACCACACAATTATAAGTTTCCGTATTATAAAGCCTTTTCTCAGTTTTTGACCAATAAATCAGTAAGTAAACTTTGAAGACTTTGATGGGTATCAACCAGATTTTAATGGATTCTTAAAATGACCCCACTTTACACCCCTACAAATTTTGGCATAACTTTTTGAACTATTGTGTTTACAGACAGAATGACACGCGTGCAAACGCTAACAAACACATAACCTACTTGGCAGGGGTAATGAAATGCAAAATGATGTTAAAGTCACATTTATGGTTAAGAAACACACACACACACACACACACACACACACACCATAATAAGTTTATGAATGACTGTCAGTACATCAAGGATCGCTGTATCATGATACCATCATTGTCACGGGCGACTTGTTGTACGAGTATTGTAATTATGAATTAGTTTGTGTTTTCAGATAAAACCTGTAAACTGAAACCAAACATGAAACGATCACTGACTGGGACATTTTTACTTTCGGGGTTTTTTTTGTGATTTTAAATGTATTTGGTTTAAAATTGGATTTTCATAACTGAAACGTCACATCATCTTTTTTTTTAGGGCTCATTACAATGTAGTGTAATACATTACTGCACAGTTACCTAGAGTTGTGTGCAGTGGTACTTACCATGACCTTGGCGCATTGGTGTCCCAGTGTGAACTCTCCATGTGCATATTTTCCCTCCATATATCAGCTGTGGTTGTCCTTCATCTGAGCTTGGCCATACACTGCTCCTCTGGCAGGTCTGCCTGCGTCTGCTGAACTTTTCACATCACGCGTAGCCGTTGCAAATAAAATCGTTAAACAAACCCTGTGGCTTTTGGACGGCTCCACGACAAGAGTCAGCGTCACTTGGGCCACCTCCCTTTGTCTCAGCTCCAGAGTCGACAACCAGGAACGAGTCATGGCTCATATCAAGGGCCTCGCCGCTTTCAAGCAACTCTAAAGCAACGCTGACCTGATCCATGTTACCCTCGGAGGTCAGCATGACGTGATGCTCCATGTTTTGTCAGAGCGGGCTGACACGTGTTTGTTATCTTTAAACTTCTCCGCAGTGATTAAGATTTAATTAAAGTCCTTGCTCTGTCAATGAACCCTGTATCATCTCATAAAGACTCTGTGTTGTGTGCATGTGCACTCTGTGGTAACTGTAAGGAAATGTGTAGCTTTGCTCTTATGGCACCAGACACCCTTTTCCCTTTCAAAGCAATCAAGCATTCTCCCTCGGCACTGAAGCCCCCCGAACCCGTCTATCCAGAGGAAAACATGACATCACTTAACTATCGTTCTCTCTTTCCGAAATATATCTACCTTGCCCCCCTTTTCTTTTCTCTCCCTCCTCATAAGCTCCCCCCTTCATCTCCTTGAGCTGAGCAGAGCGCTGCGGCGATATTATCGAAGGCATATGGTGCAAAGAAGAGCCCGAGCCAAGCGAGTCCTGGATTATTTAGTTATGCGTCCTCCTCATTCCGGTTTCAAACTGAATTTTAGGACAGCAGCATGAATGTGAGCCAAGTTCTTATTAACACAAAAGTATGTGATTAATACCTCACAGCTTTCACATCTCTCTGAAAGGCTTGGCCTGAGGATCTTACTTGTGCCACCAAACTTATATGCATGTATTATATGTGGGGTGACACGAATCTCCTCAGAACAGAATATTTAATGCGGCGTGTTTTACAAAACAGTTCGTGATCGTGTATACAGAGTACGGCTGCAGTTGGTCTGAGAACAGGGGTTTGACAAAGCCCATTTGGATCAACTGACTGAGTTTGCATAACAACACACAATCTCATGGGAACTTCAGTTTGAAGCCTCTAGTTCTTCAGTCTAGTGCAGGGGTGGGCAATCTCAGTCCACGAGGGCCGGTGTCTCTGCAGGCTTTAGATGTGTCCTCGAACCAACACAGCTGATTTAAATGGCTAAATTAGCTCCTCAACATGTCCTGAAGTTCTCCAGAGGCCTGGTAACGAACTAATCATGTGATTCAGGTGTGTTGACCCAAGGTGAGATCTAAAACCTGCAAAGAAACATAAGCAAAAGTTGAATGCAACAGAAACCGAGACACAGTCACAGTGTGGCCATGCCCTATAGGGATACCCTGCTTTATCGCTTTTTAATGCAGGTTTAAGGCCATTTGGAGAAGCCTTTTGAGGCATTACAGTTTCTGGTACTCCCACATTGGCTTTTGTATAGTTCACTCATTCTCTCTGTATTTCTGTTTTGCAGGGGGCAGCACAGGCACTTCTCCTACCACCTCCAGCACAGGAACTCCATCTCCCTCTAGTGCAGCACACCTCCTTTCTCCCTCCTGCTCCCCTCCAACCTTTCACTTGGCCCCTAACACCTTCAATGTGGGCTGTAGGGAAAGTCAGCTTTGCAACCTGGGCCTGTCGGAGTACCCTGCCTGTGCTCGCAGCAACATGGCGGCCCTACAGGGATATGGCGGCCTGGCTGAAAGTTCATATGGACGCCTCCAGGCTGCAGGGAGTGCTGTGGCGTCTGGTCAGCCCTCTGAATCCTTTTTGCCACAGAGGACTTCCTCTTTGATTGCTGCCGGCATGCAGGGTAGCACTCACGCTTCCCTGACTGGCAGCGGCAGTGGCGGCGGCGGCGGGGGCAAAATGGATGGCTATAGCGGTCAGCTCGGCTCATTCCCAGCCTCTCAGCTTCAGTACGTGATGCAAACCGGGGGAAGCTCCAGCTCAGCCTCGTCCTCTTCATCCGGATCCGCCCCTTCCTCTGCCCACATGTTTGGTGGAAGCCACCACCACGTGCAGCAGGGCTCCTACAACGCTTTCTCCCTCCACAACCCTTACAATTTGTACGGATATAACTTCCCCACTTCTCCTCGCCTGGCCGCCAGCCCCGAGAAACCCCAGGGTGGTTTGCTCTGCTCCTCCACTCCTGCAGGGGCATTCGCCGAGCGCCAGTACTTGTCCAACGGAAGCATGGACACCATGCACATGATCGGCAACACCACCGGTGGCCAGCAAAGCAGCAGCTCTTGTGACGGACGTCAGTATGGCTCCTCGTCTCAGATGTCCATGCACATGGTGTAGGAACTCAGACCCAACCTTGCAGGGCGCCACGTTTTTAATGTCTTCAATATGAAAAGTAAATCTACGAACCTGGTTTGGTGTTAAGTTTGAACCAGTGTTTTCACATGAAGGATAGATATACTGAGGTACAAAGGAAGCTTTCAGAAAAAGGATGTCCTCTCAACATTTTGTTTTTAAAGATACTTACAGTAGAAGACAAAAATATTATTTAATTATCTTTGTATTAATGAAGGACGGCAACTTGACAGCAATGAAACAACAACCTCATTCAGATCAGTGTTATAAGAAGTGGCAGTGTACTTACTCTGGTACAGAGGGGATTATCAGTTGTGAGTGTCATTGTGCAATAGAAGCAACAGGTTCTTCAAAATGACTTGATTCTTTGGGGACTCAAATGTCATCTGCTCTTCCTGCCATTCTGTAACCAAAGAACCTTCTATGTGATACAGAGGGCTTTTACTTCACTCGGCACTTGTGCCATATTAGCTTGGGAATGCCAAAGTGTCAGTGGTTGCTGACAAAATCCGCAGTTTTTGGCTGGAATGAAATAGACAACTGGACCGGATCACCGAATGACTCTGCTCCTCGTACATGCAGGAGAGAAACTGGTGCATGCTGTGGCAGATGGTGGAAACACACAAATCTGGTAATTGTTGCAAGAGTTCACTGAGGAACTTTTGCTTCATCCTGAAAATGCCAGCATATATGCACATTAGAAATCAGGACTTCACCACGCAACTCAACCTTTTCTCCTCTAAGACTGGATTGGTTATTTTTTGAGTGGATTCTGTTTTAAATATATATATAAATATATGTATAAGATGGCGAATGCAATCAATAACATAAGCTTAAAAAGTTGTTGTGTGACAAAAAGTAAGCAATAGCAGCACAGAGTAAAGTATGTTGTGACGTGTATTACAGATGTGTATTTAAGTGCTGAACAGTATAGCAATTTTACAGGACAATCTGTTATTAAAATGTGTGAAAAAGGGGAAATAGCAAAGTAATTCTTTTTTTTGTGAAACATTTTAAAAAAATGTAAATACAAGTGCCAAGCACCTAAAAAACAAACAAACAAACAAAAAAAGAAACCATCAATAAACGTTTTAATTCATTTACATGGGTTGGATTTCTTCCCTCTCTGTGAACAGTACAGGCAATTATTCTGGAAAATTAAGAACATACGACATTTTCTAATTCAGATGAAAAAAATGCGTCTTTGTTAGTAACATATAGACTGTATATAAGGACTTGACAAGGTTCCTAGTTTGAATCCCAGCTGAACCCTTTCTGTGTGGAGTTTGCATGCTCTTTCTCTTCTCTGTGAGATTCCTGTGGATACTCCAGCTTTTCTCAAAAGTGCAAAGACGTGCATGTTTTAAAGAGACCACAGCTTTGAGGTAGATACAATCCTGTAAATATATATAATAAAGCACTGTACAGTTAAAATGTAACTTAAACTTTAAGTGATCACTAAATGCAAGCACGTTGCATTACATGAATTCACTTATTCGTTTGCGCGTTAAAGCCTTAATTTGAGCATTTTGGCTGTTGACAACTTGTGTTTTCAGTGCAGGATGTGAGAATATTTAAAGGAGAAGCAGAGTGTTAAATGATCATATTACGCTAACATGCTTGATTGTGAAGTGCTTCCAGAGACTGGACTGGATTTGACCGACACTGATACCTTTTAAACGGTTGAATGTGGTTCCACGGTGGTCCTACAGACAAGTGTCCTTTTTCATGAGGTGTTTTTGATCTTTCACATTTTTTTCTCATTAAATTTGCTGTAGTTAGTGCAGTAAGTAACATCCTTATAAAGTGCAACAATCTATCTCACTTCTTAGATAGAACAAATGTCTAAGACTGTGACTCTTGAGTACAAAGCACTGCATAGCAGGCCATACTATTTGTTAGATTACATAAAAAAGGCTTTAAAAGTCACCTACAGCACAAATGCAAATGGGAGGTCCAGTTTAGTGACCTGAATTAGCAGATGGTTGTAGTTATATGGACAAAAAGATGCATAATGTTAAGCCTTAATACAACTTCCCCCTTTCCACCCCAACCGACCCGCACACCCACCTACAGCTGGCTACAGACCAAGCGCCTGTTTTGTGCCAAGCTGTAAACATAGTTATTCTATAAAATGGAAATCTATCTGGATCGGCCTGTTTTACAGCCTCAAGTGGCCATTTGAACAACTGTAACTTTTAGCTCTTTCACAGCGTTTTGGCTTAATTTGGTGGTTCCCGCTTGGTCATACGCCTCAAACTCAGAGGAAACAGGAGTTGCGCATAAGCAAAACAAATTAGACTGTTTAAAGTAGGTAATCAACAGAATAATGATGCTTTTACTCACCACATGTTCTGTATTTCACAGCTATATACTGATTAACTCTTGGAAATGACTGATAAATATCATCTAAGAAGCATGCCATTTTGAATGGAGCTTGACATTCTATCTACGAGAGCTGATTTGCCAGTCGCAGCCGCTTGGCCACAATAGCAACAAATGGCGTGATTATTAATCACGCAAGAGAGTGTTCTCTGCTTATAAAACACACACATCTGCTCCGCTCCACATCACAGGCACGGGCTTCAAACGCTGACGCAATGCATCGATCATAAACCAAAACTGGGAGAAAAAGACCCCAAGAAAAAGACGATTTTTCTCCCTGCTGGTTCTGTTTATTATGAGAATGAAGAATAAAGCTCTTGTGCCAACTGCACTCAGCTGCACTACTCCTGTTGTGCTTGTTGCACAAAAATATGGCACCTGTTTAAAGAGACAGAAAAATCCCCTTGTAATCATTTGAACCTCCAAGCGAAGGAAAATATTCAGCTTTTAGGATCGTTCCTACTGCAGCCTTGTGGTTCTTCTCTTGTTATACAGACGCAGATTCCAGCGATTTAGCCGGGGCCAATCAGCATCTATTACACGGATGTCTTCTGAACGGCTCTCCCCAATCACTTCCTATCACGAGTACAGCTCCAGCCATGAAATATCATATCTGAACCATCATCGGAAAATGAAGGGGGTAAAGGACCGTGGAGACAGCGACCCACTATTGGAAACACCTGTTTTTCCAAGCATGACTTCAAATAATGAGCAGGGTGATGTACCGGAGAGAAGCGTATGATTTCATAATTTGGCATCGCTCCATCTATCTGGACATTATTTCCAATAATTATTCACATTATTTGTCTGATATGCGCCCCATCTCCTGTTCCAGCAACATTCAAAATCACCCTGTTACCCACCCCCCCACCCGTCTTCACCGCAAATCTACCTCAGGGCCTGTTAAATAGGAGATGTATTGGTAAAGAGGAGCAGTGCACATGGCTCTACAGAGAGGCGGCATGACATAATGCACAGCAGGTCTGTTTTTATACCGTAAACTATCCATCAGGTCCTTAAGTGGAAAAGAATGGCAAGAGGCTTGAGTAACAGCCACTCGCTGCCTTTCATCGTGGCGTCTTTCATTAGAAACAAAATATGGAACTCACTGATTGATTAATGGCGGAGCGTGGCCGACTCGCCGTAAAACATGAAACTGTACGACTTGGAGATACGGAACTGGAGCTTTTTTAACGAGGTCCTCTGACAGGGATGCTGCTTTGAGCCTGCTTTGACTGACAGCACGCTGACTGAAAGATATTCCATAATCCCCACATCTCAGCCATTGATCTTTCCCTCCCGACACATTTCAGAAATTTTAAAAGACTCAGAAATTGCTCTCTGGGGATTTCTACTGGACGCGAGTCCAGTTGAGGGGGGAGCTGTGACCATGTGCCAAAGTGAGGAAAAACACTGCTTTAATTTCAGAGAACCCTGAGCCTGGTTTTGACATGACAGAGTGTGAGTTTATATCGGACACTTCAATCAGTAAATCCTGGTAAACTATTGCCCTCTTGTGTTTATTCCTCTCTTATGCTTGAGATTCCTTGGCCTGACTCATCTTCACAGTAAATTATTGCTGACAGGAGACGCAGACCCACTTTTCTGAGGTGTTACAGTGGGCCTGACATGTGTATTGGAACACTAAATCATTGTTCTTCTGCAAAGGGCTCTCACATACCTTGGGCCGTCTTACACCAGCATTCTTTTCTCCTTCAAGGAACATCTTGAAGCTATTTTAGGATTGATAAAGTCATGATGCAGATGTCAAGCATTAAAAAAAGAAACATAACAGGTTCTGGCAATGAGGCTAAAGTCTGTACAGCCACAGGAGTACAGATCTCTGAAACAACCCTGTGCTTGTTTGTGTGTCTGTCTATAGAATGAAACAAAGGGAACATGTAGAAGAGGAAGTAAATATAAAGTCTTCACATTTATTTCAGCACTGCTGGATGTCTCTGTAGCTTACAAAGATTAAATAACAGCCAACTGCACTTTACATCTGTGAAAAGTGCAATAAAAATAAATTTTACTTACAAATTAGGAAAAGAGGGGGTTTAAGGAGCTATTTTCATAGTGAAAACTATGTGATGTGTTTGGATTTTGCCAAATGTCACACTTATGATTACTGGTTGCACCTATCCGAAGGACATTGTTCCTGAAGTCTTGTTTGTTCTAATGCAACTTTGCCAATCTAAGCTGTGTTGTTATGTTCTTTTTAGAGAGAAAAGGATTTCTCCTTTAAAACAGGCCGTACGTGTTGAGTCTTTTTCTAATTGTACTGTCATGAACTTTAACACATTTACACTGAGATGTAGCTCTTGGGGTTTTTGCAGTATCTCTGAGCATTGATCGGTCTGACCTTGGGTTGAGTTTTCTGGGATGTCCACTTCTGGGAAGTGTAAAATTGTCTTGTCTTATAACCCTTCCCAGAAAATGTTCTTTAAGAACCTTGCTGCTGTCTTTCCTCTTTGGCATCGTGTTAAGACGCACCTGAAAGTTTCAGATCAGGAAACTGCCAAAAACTCTGCTTTTATAAATGTCTTCACAATTGCCGATGATCACTTTATCAAGTGCATCATTTGATTATCAGCAGCTGGCTGGGACTTATCCTCGTGATTCCTGTGTAAGTAGTAAAGGTGTACTTAGTTTTTCATAGGACCTTATACATGTAAGATTAATGTCCAAAGCCAACACTGCAAAAATGAATGAATAAATACAAATTTAAAAGTAAAAGACAAACAAACAAATACTTAAAATCAATATCTACTATGTTTTTTCACAATTTCTTACTTTGTTTTTGTTTTTCTTTGTAATTTCTAATGATAATAATGGTGATCCTTGAGCTGTTTCAGTGATTTTTTTTGTTTGTGTCTCACAGAACTGATGATTTAAAATAGGAAATGATCTACAATGAAAAGAAGATAACCTGATAACTGGCAGCAGGGTAAAATGTAATAACCCCGCAAATAAGCAAAAGTAATATTCTTTAGCAGCACTATTTTACCTTAAAGCCTGCTTTGTCCTAAACTGTAGTTCTAAACTTGGCGTTTAGAATTATATCCAAAGCAGAGTCAAATTTCTCTTGGGCCAAATCCTTCAACACTGTTACGCTGTTAATGCTGTCAAATAAATACAACCACAACATTCTCTAAAATGGCATAAATTCGCATGAAAGAATAGCAAGAAGTCTGATATTCTCATTGTAGGAACTACACTGGAAACCAGGAATGCAAGTGAGATGACTGCCAATAACAGTACTTTTCAGGATGAAAGAAAGTGAGATAAAAAAAGTAAATGTAAAATGGATAGATCAGCAGAATATTGGAATAATGAGCCACTGAGTTGGAAACTTTATGTATCCCTCAGTCTCAAAACTGCATAACAGACGGTGGCTACCATATCAGATATTATACTGATTGAGACAATTTACCACAACTTATGTTTAAAAGAATTCTGCACAGTTAGAAACTTTGATGATATTAGGTAAAATATTCAGTCAACAACAGTCAAAGTTTGTGTAATGTTCTTTATAGCTGCAACATTTTGTTACTGTCATAAATATGCATTATTTCCTGGGCAAAGGAAGTTTAAAC